AAGGAGTTTATAGGTAAATTTATGTCGTTACTTTGATGACATTCTTATATGCTCATCTTCTCTTGATTCTCATGTCATTCATGTTCGAATGGTTCGTGAAGTCTTCGACGAGAACATTTATATGCTAACATGGATAAGTGTGTTTTTTGCATGATAAGCTTATGTTTTTAGGCTTTATAGTTAGTGTACAGGGTATTCATGTAGATAAAGAGAAGGTCAAGGCAATTCAAGAATGGCCCACGCCTACTTCCATCACCGAGGTAAGATCTTTCATGGTTTGGCAAGTCTACCGTCGCTTTGTCAAAGATTTCTCAACCATTGCTGCACCATTAACCGAGATCATCAAAAAGTCAGTTGAATTCAAATGGGGACCACTACAACAAAAAGCTTTTGAACTTCTTAAAGATAAGTTATGTTCTGCCCCTATTCTTCGTCTTCCCAATTTTTGTAACACCTTTGAGCTAGAATGTGATGCTTCAGGCATAGGCATTGGTGTCGTCCTCATGCAAGAAAGACAACCTATCGTTTACTTTAGTGAAAAGTTAAAAGATGCACAATTGAACTACTCTACCTACGACAAGGAACTTCTTGCACTCGTCCGAGCACTCGAAGTGTGGCAACATTATCTTCTCCCTAAAGAGTTTGTCATTCACACGGACCATGAATCACTCAAATGGTTAAATGGACAAGATGGCTTTCTTTTTCGCATGAACAGGTTGTGTATACAACAAGGCTCTTTGCGAGAGTTCTTGGTTCACGAGTCACATGCCGGAGGACTTATGGGACACTTCGGTATTCACAAAACACTTGATATGGTCATGGAACACTTCTTTTGGCCGCACATGCGTAAAACAATGGAAAAGATTTGTGCATCATGCATCACGTGCAAACAAGCAAAGTCAAAGATTCATGGACGAATCCTTTTAAGGAAGGGGGAGATGATACATGCACCACACTCCCTAAAGCTAAGGATGATAATTTACTATACCACTTGGCCCTATCACACGAGGCCGGAAAAAACTTCTTAAAGACAAGCTTCAAATCGCAGTTCAAGCATTCATCCGTAAGGGTCTAATAGCAGCAGATTTGCAAAAAAAAATTGAAGGGTATCCAGTTGTTATCCGGTCGACATGTCTTCTGGATATACAACCGTCTATCTCTTATCTTTCCAACGGTTCTTAAATCGCATCAATCCGATATCGGGAACTCAAGATATGACCATTTTACTGAAGACGGTGCATGCAGGAAATCCTATACGGGATTAATACGTTATTTTGTAAATATTACGAATTTTCAATATTTATATTGATTATTTGTAATATAATTTAATATAGGATGATTAATTATATTTTAGGATCAGAATTATTATTTTATTAGGAATTAAGGTTGGGTTAAACAATATTTTTAGTTATTATTTTATTAGGAATTAGAGTTAAAACATGTTTAGTTTATTAATATTTTATTCTTTAGTTATTTAGGACCTTTAGAATTCAACCCCTATATAAGGAGGCTTCATTCAACTTTGTAAATCAGATTTCTTTGATTAATAATACAACGAGAGTTCGTTTTGCAAGTGTCGATTGCCTTGTGCCTTCGAAGCTTCTTCTCCTGGAGTTCTTTCAAGTTCTTGTGAGGGAGATTAATCTTCACACTCCAATTTGCCTTTTCATCGCGACTAGGAGGGTTGGTTAGAGCCATTTATCGAGTTTTCCTTTTCATTGCGACTAGGAGGGTTCGATAGGACACTTATCCATCTATTTTCCACAAATCCATCTGCATCAATCATCTTTACCGTCCACCTTCGTAAGGGAGATCTTTTGATTTCTTTATCATCTTATCTTATTTTATTTCAATTTCTTATCTTTTGTTTATTTTGTTCTAATCTTATTGCCTTGAAGAAACCCTAAAGAATCCTAGTTATTGCCGCCACCTTCCCCTATTCATCCCCTTTGTTCTTAATCGAGTCTAGAGCTTTCTAGGTTTGATTCTTCAACAAGAGCAACGTTCATTAACCCGCCACCTCTGACATGCATGGTATTTGATTTGTTTGAACAGAATCAGTTAAAGTTAGTTTTGACTCAATCTCCTCAACATGAAGGAACAATGTCATCCTCAGACAATCAGACTTCCTCAACGAGAAGAAACAATGTTGTCTCCAAGTCATCTTCTGATCGACCTGGTTTCTTCAAAATGAAGGAGCAACGTCATTTTTTACCTGAAAACGACCAGATCTCTTCAACATGGATGAACATTGTCGTCTTCAACATCAAATTGTGTCCAGGTCGACCTGATCTCCTCAACACGAAGGAGCAGTGTCATCCGCAGACAATCAGACTTCCTCAACGTGAAGGAAAAGTCATCTCCTGATTGACCCGATTTCCTCAAAACGAAGGAACATCATCTTTTTACATGAAATGACTAGATCTCTTCAACACTGATGAACAGTGTCATCTTAACATCAAACTATCTCCAGATTGACCCGATCTCCTCAACACGAAGGAGCAGCGTCATCCTCATACAATCAGACTTCCTCAACGCGAAAGAACCATGTTATATCCAAATTATCTTCTGATTAACCCGATTTCCTCAACACGAAGGAACAACGTCATCTTCAAACAATTTATCTAAAAACGACTAGATCTCTTCAACATGGACGAGCAGTGTCGTCTTCAACACCAAACTTTCCAGATTGATCTGATTTCCTCAAAATCAAAACAATCAGAGAGGTCGGTCAAAATTAGTGTCTTTGATCTTTGTCTTATTCTATTTATACGATAATGGACAAAGAGGGGCAACTGTAGACACTGTGTTTTGACCGGGTAGTGTTTGACCCGGAAACAAAATAGGCAGGAGCCCACGTGAAAACAAAACAGCTAAGGTAACATGTTACCAGCTCTGTTGCAGCCCTCGTTTTTCAGCACACGTCATGCAATCTGACAATGCCAAGGAAGAATCGCAAGAAATCTGGGAATTAAATACTATGACCGACTGACTTTACCAGCGTCAAACACGCCAGTTTCACCCTATTAAATGCGTGGAAAAAGCATATTCAAAAGGAAAAAGAAATATTTTTTATTTTTATGTAATCGAGTATATGATACCCCAATAACCAGTGTAAAGAGGGGGAATTTTTTTTTGAAAAAACAATACAAAGTACCAAAAAATCAGATTTGAAGCAACGATTTCTCCAAGTTATTTTCATTTTTTTGTACATGCATGTTTATATTTCGGAAGAACTAAATATATGTATAAAAAATATATATTAGAATTTTACCTTTAATGGGGCCTTCATTCGACCGTTCTAATATTAGATGGGTTTCGGTTAAGTCGGTCATCAATGGTGATGACCGGAAGGCGGAGAGCCACCGACGTACGGCGGCGCTAGGGGGAAATTTAGACTTTGGTTGAGTGGTTTAGGAAGGAAAATAAATTTTTTAGGGTTTTTTTAGGTCGTGATCTAGCGTTTAGGTAGAATAAGAGAGTGTGGGGTTCCATCGGAGTGGAGACCGACCACCAAAGTACGGTAGTCGACCGGGTTTTGGGGCGATGATGGCTCGGTCGAAGCTTGCGTGGAGAGATTGAGAGAAGAGAAAAAAAAAAGAAAAGGGGGAAGATAATAACAATGGGGGCTAGGTCTTTTTTTTACTGGCTAAAAGTTGTATATATAAGCTATAAAATTGTAAAATTATGCTTAAGACATTCCATGTTTTCCTTGTTTTATAAAACAGTCACTAAACTTTTGCGAAAAACCACGTTGAAGCCCTTTAACATTTAGCTAGTTTTTATAAAATGGTCATTAAATATTCACATAAAATTGTGTTAAGGTCCCTCTAATATTTTCCATTTTTTTACATTTTAGTCGTCAAATTCCTATATTTTGTTTATTTTATTATTAGTACTTAAGTTTCATTATTTATAAGTTAGTCACCAACATGCTATTTTATGTTTTATTTCTTTCTGATTTATGCATTTTACTTTATGGTATTTTATTTTAGCCACTTACTTACTAACATTTTAATATTTATCTTATTCGAACTAACTTACTAACTTTTATTTATTCGCTTTATTATTATACTAACTTTTATTTTTTTACTGTTATACTAACATTTTATTTTTACTGTACAAATTAAACTTTTTAAATTTACGTAATTTATTTTGTTTATTTATTTACTATTCGACACCTAAATTTTAAAACTTAATTTTTTCCCTTTAATATTCCAGTATTTTATTTCAGTCATTTTCCATTTTTTTAATTTAATTTTTTTGTATTTACCTTTTTAGTATCTTAACTTATACCTTATTTTGTTTTTTTTTAAATATGAAAAAATGTCTTTTTGTGAGTGGAATCTATGGGAAAGTATCCTAACTACAAAATAAATGCATTCCCGAGGATTGTTCATACAAAATGATGTATTTTCTCGTATAAAAATAATTATAATATCTTTTATTTTTATCTTATGGGCTCTTTGATCTTTTTGACCGATTGCATTTCTTATTTTAGGTTGCTTTTGGAAATTGACGTCTTTTTAAATAGATTTGAATAAATAGAAGGATCATAAATTAAATATTATTTTCAAAGTTTGAAATTTTTAATATTTAAACAACATATAATCGTTTAGGTACCAAAATTTGGGCGTTGTGGGGGTGCTCATTCTTCCCCGCACGTAACCGACTTTCGAACTCTTAAAAATGAATCTTTGGTAAAACGCATACTATTTTTTGTCGTTTAAGGTTTTCAATCTACCTAACTTAAATGTTGGTGGTGACTCTAAAATCAAACTATTTTTTAAAATTGAATTTACCGCCTTCTCCTAATTTAAAATTTTCAAGTCTAACAAATCCCCGAGGAAACGTTATGATAAAAATAATATTATATAATGGAAGCTTTATTTATCTAACTTTTTTTCCATTCTTAGTTGGTACTAATGAACTATCTAAAAAGCTGGAGGAGAGGATGAGGGAAAGGAAACTGGACAGATACGACGACGTACCAAAGAAGTAAAGCAAAGGATGTTTCTTCTACCGCTTCTCGCAAAGAAACATCGATTGAAACGACATCGTTTTAGCAGAGCGGTGGAGGCTTATGAGATGGCAAGCTCTCTTATCTTTCTTCTTTGGTTCACCAAACACCCATCTTTTCGAAAGATCCATACTAATAAGAGAAAACTTGGAAAAGCGGGCTCCAAATCTATCAACCTGAACCTAGAAGTATTGAAGCGGTTAAAGGAGGTGGTCTGCGGGTAATCGGAGGAGAAGCTGAGTGGAAATGCCGGTGGAGGATTTGGTGGATATAAAGTTCAGGCTTTATGACGGATCGGATATTGGGCCGTTCCCGTACTCGGCGACATCCACAGTCGATATGCTTAAGCAAAGGATTGTCTCTGATTGGCCCAAAGGTTTCCTCTTCTGAATTAGTTCCATTTCGTTTTATAATTGCTCGTGAAGTTTTTTTCTGTTGGGTTTTATTCACTTACATTTTTGGAAGATTTCTGGTAAATTTTGGTTAAATTTGGAATGATTTGCTATATAGTATACAATAATTTTGGAGACAGATTAACAAAGCAGTAGGGTTTGCATTGGAATGCAGATCCTCTGGAATTAGGGTTCTTAGGTTTCCGGACGAAATTGTAGCCTTAGAAAGAAGGAGATAACCTTTCTATATAGTATCTTCATTGTTGATGCCATTGGTGTATTCTTTATTTTCGATTTGAAAATGGTTAGTAGAACTGCAGTATGTTCTTATGAATGTAGATTCAGTGGAAGGCTAAATTTAGCTGTATAAACTGTAAATGCATGTTATTGAAATGTTCAAAAAATTGATGTTATCTTCGTTCTTTTTAACTACAAATATCGACAAAGAACAGCATCCACTCGCTCCATTTGTTACCTATGAACAATCCCAGAAGGAAGTTTTTAAGGTTAACAGTTTCGAAATTCATTTTAAATTATCTTAGATGCAGTCGTTGCCCTTCCTCAGGTAAGACGATTATTCCAAAGGCAGTGAATGAAGTCAAACTGATCAGCTCGGGTAAAATATTGGAGAACGATAAGACTGTTGGTCAGTTTCAAGTTCCCTTTGGGGAAGTAGCAGGTGGAGTTATTATAATGCATGTTGTAATACAGCCAGCTCTTGCAAAGACTAAAACAGGTATTTTCTATAACTGACCACCAGTGATTGCTAAAAGCCGAAACTTTGAGTATTTACATTGATGGTTAATGAGTATGTTGCTCTGAGTTATGATGAACATATCAGAGGTCATCTTTGCTTGTATTCATGATAAAGAAATCCCCCTAGCCATTGCTGCATCATTCCATAATTCTTTGTGCTGATAAGATCCGTTATTGGGATTGCATTTCGTCTTTTAGGTCAATAATATGCAAGTCGATGACATTGTACAATTATAATTAGTGCACCTTTACTTGCTGTTAAGTAGAACTTTATCCAAGTGGTGGACATCTGCATTTTTTAATACTTCATATGTCAAACTCATCAACTTATACTTGGCTTTTGGTCTGAACAGAAAAGAAGATTGATGAGTCACCCAGAAAGATTGAATGCTCATGCTCCATTTTATAAAGGCAAACGTGTAGAGTTGGGAAATTGTTTACACTGGTAACAATGTTTAGGATAGTAAACATCTGGCCTTCCTGCATGTACATCGCAAAGTTGTGTACGAATTCACAATGGAGTGATGATGATGCACATTGGTTTTTTCTATGATTTGTGTAGTAACTTTTCGGGTTGTTTCCCGATAATAGCTTGAATCATTTGAAAAGTTATATAGAGTATGTAAACAAGAAACGTACACCAAATTGTAAGATATGTCTATTGTATAAATGCTATCTATTACTAATAAAAGGCCTTCTAGTGCAGGTGATGAAAACATTTTAACCCTTCGTGCATTGTGGTTCGATAAGAACATCTAAGCGAAATTCATGGTTATGGTCAAAGGAGATTTGAGTGAAAGAAAATGACAGCTGAGGATGTAAACAAGCTTTAAAAGCTGATAATTATCTCGTACATTAGCAAATTAGTAAGAAATACAGATTCTAAGAAATGCCTACAAATCTTGATCTGAAAAACTGCAATAGGAAGGGAAGAACAGGGCAGGACAAAGTACCTTAAATCTTGCTTAGAACTTTCTCAGCGGCTGCAATAGTCTTTTGAATGTCTTCTGATGAATGTGCCAAGCTTGTAAATCCGGCTTCGAACTGTGAAGGTGCTAAGTATACACCTTCTTCAAGCATTCCCCTATAAAAGCTGGCAAATTTTGCGGTATCACTCGTCTTTGCATCATCGAAGTTGTGAACAGGCCCTTCTGTGAAGAAAAATCCGAACATCCCCCTGATATGCCCTCCACAGATAGCATGTCCCGCCTTCTTTCTGGCATCTAAAACACCTTGAACAAGTTCTCCGGTGATCTTATCCAAGTATTCATAAGTTCCTGGTTCTTTCAACCGCTTAAGGGTGTGTATCCCGGCTGTCATTGCCAATGGGTTCCCACTCAAGGTCCCAGCCTGGTACATAGGCCCCGCTGGTGCCATCATTTCCATGATCTCCCTCCTTCCTCCATATGCACCAACAGGCAGACCACCACCAATGATCTTCCCTAGTGTTGTTAAATCTGGAGTTATGCCAAAATACTCCTGTGCCCCACCATACGACAAGCGAAATCCGGTCATCACTTCATCAAATATGAGGAGAGCACCATTTTCCTTAGTTAGGCGCCGTATGGCTTCAAGGAAGTCAGATTTAGGCGGAATGAAGCCAGAGTTCCCAACGACAGGTTCAAGAATAATCGCTGCAAGTTCACCTTTGTTGCTGTTAAAGAGACTTTCGACAGCTGCTATGTCATTGTAAGGGGCCGTTAGAGTTTCAAAAGTGGTTGCTTTCGGGACACCAGGAGAGTCAGGCAGTCCTAGGGTAGCCACCCCACTACCTGCCTTGACAAGAAACGGATCGCCATGGCCATGGTAACAACCCTCAAATTTGATGATCTTTTCTCGGCCGGTAAATGCACGGGCGAGGCTCAGCACACCCATGCATGCTTCGGTACCTGAGTTTACAAACCGAACCATTTCAATGCTAGGAACAGCTGAGATTATCATCTCAGCCAAAACATTCTCAAGAAGACAGGGAGCACCAAAGCTGGTTCCCTTCTTCATTGTTTCGGCCAGGGCAGCAAGCACCTGCATACAGATATATGCAAATCCATGGTTGACATAATGCATCATCATCGACATTGCATCCAATACAACAAAATGAAAATTCAAATCAAAATGCATATGAACTGATGGCATTGTTAAGGACTTGACCTCATCATCTGCATGACCGATTATCGCAGGGCCCCAAGAGCCAACGTAGTCGATTTACTGGTTACCATCAATGTCCCACATGTGAGAACCCTTGACAGAATCAATCACAATCGGTTGTCCACCAACAGATTTAAAGGCACGCACGGGAGAATTTACACCTCCAGGCATCAGATTCTGACCAGACATACTAAACTCATTATCAATTCGATTGACCCAAAACATACCCAGATCGAAAAACCAATCAAATGGCTTGAATTTGAACAAGATTCAAAATAAGAAAACAGAAATCAGAAGAACAGAAGGGGGAGGAAGTGAGAATTACATTGGCAGCATTGAACGCTTCTCCCGATTTTTGAAGGGTATAATTCTTCTTCTTATCTTCAACAGAAACAGTCATCTTGAGGCGGAAACAGGACGATTGTGAAGAATGAAGAGGTTTAGAAAGGTTGGAAGAACAGGATAGGCCTACCCCAACTCCAATTCCGCTGATTGAAGCCGCCATTTTTGCTCTTTACTTCTCAGTGATCTTCTTTTAGGCAGTCTGAGGAAGAAGATTGTAGATGGTGAAATTGTAAGAAAGATTAGCCAATAGCAAACCGGATTGGGTGGGAAGCCCACTAAATGGACTTGGGCCATTACAATCTTTGGTTGTGACCCGAATCATATTTGGTTCGGTTCGAAAATTTTGCAATACAATTTTCTTGATAAAAAAATTACAATAGGAATAAAATGAAGATATGGGGTGGCACGGTATAGTTTTATGGTACAAAATTTAGTGTTCGTACACTTGTACCTAGAGAACCCATGAAACATTTTAGATGCTAAGATTGTGATTCGAATTATAGTTGGTTTGGTTTGGTTCGGTTCGGTTCAAAAAATTTACAAGAAACCTGTTTTATAAAAAATTAAAATTGAAAGAGAATAGAGATTTGTAATGATATGCTACATGTTTATTGTGTAGGGTTTATTGTATAGAGTTAGTGTGCTTTTTACATCTCTCTTGTAATATTATTGGCCAATATAGTGAATTTTTCTCCAACTATGATTTTTAATGTAATAGTTTTCTAATTAGGCCGTAAATGAATCAAGATTGAACGAATAAAATTATGTTCGCATTTGTTTATTTATTTTTGACGGTGTTTATGTTTAATTTGTATTTATTTAAATTTTTAATATTATATTCGTATTTATTTATTTATATTTGATAGTGTTTATATTCATCTATTTAGTATTTATGAACATATTTATTTAATATCCGAAAAACGAGTAAAGTTCTTAAGTTCCTTTAGCATCCGTCCAGCACTCTCTTTTTATCATTTTTATTTGCAATCAAAAGAAAAATGGTGGAACTATGCCACTACTCCTTAATTTCCTTAAGCTTTATAGTTTAAACTCCAAAGTTTACCTTAAGTTCGATTTAGTTCATACCTTCACCAATATTTAAAATATAAAAAAAATAAAAGGAAAAAGAAAACCGAATAAAAGAGCTTATAAACGAGTCAATAAACAATCTTATAAGTGAACTTATTTGTGAACATAAACAAACCGAACAAACCCCTGTTTGTGTTCGTTTGCTTATTAAATGAACATAAAAGATTTATTCATACTCGTTTATTTAGCTTAATAAATGAACATAAACGAACGGTTCATGAATAGTTTGACGAACACTCTATTCATTTAGACAACTAATTCCAATGTAAATATGTCTTTGTTTTCCTTTCTCTTTGATTTGCGATCAATTGTTTATAGTATCTTCCATAATTTATAACACCAAACATGTTTATACATACAATATTTATGTCCAATGCATTTGGACATAAATTTGATACATACGTAAACTCTCCAAATACAAATACGACATATATACCCGTATCTAACACTTACTGAGTTCGGATAACAAGGCACCTACCTACCGAGATGGCAGAAAAATTACCAGCACTAACCAAAACACGTATGTCAATGAAGTGAACTCACCAACCAGTCCCTAACCTGATGTTACAGAAAGAATCCAAAATGTGTCATCTTTGGTTGCTTGTTAACAAAATGGGAGAGTGTACATCAAACACAAGGATGAGGGAAATGGAAAATGCGTCGTTACAGGAAATTATCGATACGAGGCAATCAGCGTTCAGGAGATTTCATCTTCTCCATCATCATAAACTTTGTCAAGCAACTCTTGAATGGTATTAGACGCATCCTACAGTGCCATCCATTCTCAAATTTTGATGAGCTGTCCCATCCAGGGAAGAAACGAAAACATAATCAGTTTAGGACTGAAATGGTGACTGAAATGGTGCATGCCGGCTAGTGCGGTATCGGCAACAATGGTTAAACTTTTGGCTTCTTTATCAAGTAAATCATTGAAAGAAAAAACATAAGGAAGAAAGAATCTAAGGAATGAGAAAATGCAATAAGAATGGAAAGATGGTGGAGAGGACATAACCTTTAGCTGCTTTCTCAAGTTTTCCTGCTCCTTGTCTCTCCGATCCCTCTCCTCCGAGAAAATGCTAATCAGACTTTCATGTTCAATGTTCAGTTTGTCGATGTTTACCTGTGCCGCTGTCAGCCAATAAAATGACACAAGAAAAAAGATCATAAGTGTAACATAGCAACTCAAGATGTACTGATGTCAGGATAATAAGGGCTATGTTCGACTTCTACAACAGTCACCCTTATTATCCTGACATCAGTACATCTTGAGTTTCACGATTCATCGTTCAATCAATTTGAACGGCCAGTCCGACTTCTACAACAGTGCTAATCACAGCAAATTATACAAGCAAATTATAAAACACAATACAAGCTATGTATTGTCATTGTATTAGAATACGAAAGGGATCATACCTCTATTTCGAGTGATTTGGAGCTGCTTCTTTCCTTCGGCAAATCATTAAGCAATCCGCCTTGATGCCCTCCTCTGAATTTCTCTAATCTACAAGAAGAAGATCTTTTAGTCGAAAGACGATTCATAGCAGAACTGATGAAGCCTAATAGATAGGTTTGGAAAGCACCTTTTTTCAATTCACAATTCTCCTGCTTCAACTGTGCCAGTACATGTCCATTCCCATATCCACCATCAATTTCATGAAATTCCGTACATTTTTCCTCTGTTTTTCCAATTCGAGGGTGAATACATCTTGTCTGAGTCTGACAAGATTCGATTGCTTCTAGAAGTATTCTTCGTGTTCAATTTAGTAGATTTTTTTGGATCATGATCGGAAGCATCTACGGGATTAAAAAGAATGAGATATATCTATCAGGGAGTGTGCTTAAAGTTCACAGCTAACAGAAACACATACATTGTTAAATGAAATACAAGGGTGGACATAAGAGACAAGGTGACATACCTTTGGCTAAAGAATGATTTATAATCTTCTTATCACGTCGTGGGGCATAACCGATTCTATGACAATTGGTGTGCCTAACAAGAAGCGGTCAATATTCATCAGATATGACTTTAGGAAAATTGTCCTGAGATCGAGAAGCAGCATTGTTACCAAGGGTATAACTAGAAAGGAACAACAAACCAGTAATTCTTTTGCA